GAGCATGTTGTAACCAATGCAAAGAAACCAAGACTCATGATAAAACAATACAGAAGCTAATAGCCAGAATAGCCAGTTTAGAGAGAATCATAACAGACCTGATAAAGCTGAAAAACACAACATAAGAACTTCACAACGCAATCACAAGTATCAACAGCAGAACAGACCAAGGGGAGAAAAGAATCTCAGAGCTTGGAGACTATCTTTCTGAAATAAGGCAGGCAAACAATAATAGTGAAAAAAAGAATGAAAAGGAATGAACAAAACCTCCAAGAAATATGGGATTATGTAAAGAGACCAAACCTGCAACTGACTGTGGTACCTGAAAGAGATGGAAAGAATGGAACCAAGGTGGAAAACATACTTCAGGATGTCATCCAGGAGAACTTCTCCAACCTAGCAAGACAGATCAAAATTCAAATTCAGGAAATGCAGAGAACCCCAGTGAGATACTCCATGAGACCATCAACCCCAAGACACATATCATCAGATTCTCCAAGGTTGAAATGAAGGAAAAAATGTTAAGAGCAGCTAGGAGAAAGGCCAGATCACCTACCAAGGTGACCAGACTAACAGACTAACAGCAGACCTCTCAGCAGAAACCCTACAAGCCAGAAGAGATTGGTCGCCAATACTCAATATTCTTAAAGAAAAGAATTTCCAACCCAGAATCTCATTTCCTGCCAAACTAAGCCTCATAAGTGAAGGAGAAATAAGATCCTTTTCAGACAAGCAAATGCTGAGGGAATTTGTCACTATCAAGTCTTCCTTGCAAGAGCTCCTGAAGGAAGCACTAAATATGAAAATCAAAAACCATTACAAGCCACTACAAAAACACACTGGAGTACACAGACCAGTGACAATGTGAAGCAACCAGATAAACAAGTTGGCTAAATAACCAGCTAGCATCATGATGACAGGATCAAATTCACACTTAACAATACTAACCTTAAATGTAAATAGGCTAAATGTCCCCAATTAAAAGACACAGAATGGCAAGCTGTATAAAGAGCCAAGATCCTTTGGTATGCTTTCTTCAAGAGATCCATCTTATGTGCAAAGACATACATAGGCTCAAAATAAAGGGATGGGGGAAAATTTGCCAAGCAAATGGAAAACAGAAAAAGGCAAGGGTCACAATCCTACTTTCCGACTAAACAAACTTTAAACCAATAAATAGCAAAAAAGACAAAGAACACCATTACATAATGGTAAAGGGTTCAATGCAACAAGAAGAGCTAACTATCCCAAATATATATGCACCCAATACAGGAGCACTCAGATTCATAAAGCAAGTTCTTAGAGACATATGAAGAGACTTAAACTCCATGCTATAGTAATGGGAGACTTTAATATCCCACTGACAATATTACATAAATCATTGAGGCAGAAAATTAACAAAGATATTCAGGACCTGAACTCAGCTCTGGATCTAGGGGACCTGATAGATATCTACAAAAATCTCTACCTAAAAACAACAGACTATACGTTCTTCTCAGTGCCACATGGCACTTACTCTAAAATTGATCACATAATTGGAAGTAAAACTCTCCTGAGCAAATGCAAAAGAACTGAAATCATAATGGTCTCTCAGACCATAACACAATCAAATTAGCATTCAAAATTAAGAAATTGACTCCACACCACACAACTACATGGAAATTAAACAACCTGCTCCTGAATGACTCTTGAGTAAATAATAAAATTAGGCAGAAATCAATAAATTCTTTGAAACTAATGAGAACAGAGAGACAACGTACCAGAATCTCTGGGATGCAGCTAAAGGAGTGTTAAGAAGGAAATGTTTAGTGCTAAATGTCCACATCAAAAAGCTAGAAAGATCTCAAGTTAACAATCTAACATCTCAACTAAAAGAACTAGAGGGCCAAGAGCAAAGAAATCCCAAAGCTAGCAGAAGACAAGAAATAACCAAGATCAGAGCTGAACTGAAGGAGATAGAGACATAAAACACCCTTTCCAAAAAAATATCAATAAATCCAGGAGCTGTTTTTTTTGAAAAAAATAATAAGACCACTGTCTAGATTAATAAAAAAGAAAATAGAGAAGAATCAAACACAATCAGAGATAAGGGGGATATCATCACCAACCCCACAGAAATACAACCATCAGAGAATCCTATAAATGCTTCTATGCACATACACTAGAAAGTCTAGATGGAATGGATAAATTCCTGGACACATACACCCTTCCAAGACTGAACCAGGAAGAAACTGAATCCTTGAATAGACCAATAATAAGTTCTGAAATTAAGGCAGTAATAAATAGCCTACCAACCCAAAAAAGCCCAGGACCAGACAGATTCACGGCTGAATTCTACCAGAGGTACAAAGAAGAGCTGGTACCATTTCTACTGAAACAATTCCAAAAAACTGAAAAGGAGGGACTTCTCCCTACTCATTCTATGAGGCCAGCATCATACTGATACCAAAACCTGGCAGAAACACAACAGAAAAAGAAAACTTAAGGCCGATATCCTTGATGAACATCCATGCAAAAATCTTCAATAAAATCCTGGCAAGCTAGGCGAGGCATGGAGGCTCATGCCTGTAATCCCAGCACTTTGGGATGCCAAGGCAGGCAGGTCACTTGAGGTCAGGAGTTTCAGACCAGCCTAGCCACCACGGCAAAACCCCATCTCTACTAAAAAAACAAAAAAATTAGTCAGGTCCAGTGGTGCACACCAGTCATCCCAGTTACTCAGGAGGCTGAGGCAGGAGAATCACTTGAACCCAGGAGGCAGAGGCTTCAGTGAGCTGAGATTGCATCACTGTACTCCAGCCTGGGTGACAGAGTAAGACTCTGTCTCAAAAAAAAAAAAAAAAAAAAAAAAAAAATACTGGCAAACTGAATTCAGCAGCATATCAAATAGCTTATCCATGACGATCAAGTAGGCTTCATCCCTGGGTTGCAAGGTTGGTTCAATGTACAAAAATCAACAAATGTGATTTATCACATAAACAGAACTAAAGACCAAAACCACATGCAGAAAGACCTTTGACAAAATTCAACATTCTTTCATGTTAAAAACTCTCAATAAACTAGGTATTGAAGAAACACCTCAAAATAATAAGAGCCATATATGACAAACCCATGGCCAATACCATACTGAATGGGCAATAGCTGGACGCATTCTCCTTGAAAAGCAGCACAATACAAAGATGCCCTCTCTCACCACTCCTATTCAACATAGTTTTGGAAGTTCTGGCTAGGGCCGTTAGGCAAGAGAAAGAAAGAAAGTGTATTCAAACAGAAAGAGAGGAAATCAAATTATCTTTTTGCAGATGATATGATCCTATATCTAGAAAACCCCATTGTCTCAGCCCCAAAGTTTCTTAAGCTGATAAGCAACTTCATCAAAGTCTTAGAATACAAAATCAATGTGTAAAAATCAATAGCATTCCTATACACTAACAATAGGCAAGCAGAGCCAAACTATGAATGAACTCCCATTCACAATTGCTACAAAAATAAAAATATACCTAGGAATACAGCTAACAAGGAAAATGAAGGACCTCTTCAAGACCTGCAAACCACTTTTCAAAGAAATCAGAGAGTACACAAACAAATGGAGAAACTTTCCATGCTCATGGATAGGAAGAATCAATATCGTGAAAATGGTCATATTGCCCAAAGTAATTTGTAGATTCAATGCTAATTCCATTAAACTACCATTGACATTCTTCATAGAATTAGAAAAAACTATTTTAAATTCATACAGAACCAAAAAAGAGCCCAAATAGTCAAGACAATCCTAAGCAAAAAGAAACAAAGCTAGAGGCATCACACTACGTAACTTCAAGGTGTACTACAAGGCTACAGTAAACAAAACAGAATGGTACTGGTACAAGAACAGACACATAGGCCAATGGGCCAGAATAACTTAGAAATAAGATTGCACAACACTGTTGGTGGAAATGTAAATTAGTTTAACCATTGTGGAAGACAGTGTGGTGATTCCTCAAGGATCTAGAACCAGTTATATCATTTGACCCAGCAATCCTATTTCTGGGTATATACTCAAAGGAATATAAATAATTCTACTATAAAAACACATGCACACATGTGTTTATTGCAGTGCTATTTATAATAGCAAAGACATGGAACCAACCCAAATGCCTACCAATGATAGACCAGATAAAGAAAATGTGGTACATATACACCATGGAATCCTATGCAGCCACGAAAAAGAATGAGATCATGTCATTTGCAGGGACATGGATGAGGCTGGAAGCCATCATCCTCAGCAAACTAACACATGAACAGAAAACCAAACACTGTATGTTCTCACTTATAAGTGGGAGTTGAATATTGAGAACACATGGGCACAGGGAGGGGAACAACACACACTGGGGTCTGTTGGGGGTTGGGGGCAAGGGGAGGGACAGCATTAGGAGAAGCACTGAATGCATGTGGGGCTTAAAACCTAGATGACGGGTTGATAGGTACAGCAAACCGCCATGGCACATGTATACCTATGTGACAAATGAGCATGTTCTGCACATGTATCCCCGAAGTTAAAATAAAAGTTGAAGAAGAAAACGAATGTGGATTGTTCTCCATTGCGAATCATGGCCCCCAGAATTCTACGGTAACAAATCTCTTAGTTGCCCTCTGACCGAAATCTCCTCATCCCCCACAACCTGCCCCACATCACAACAAAACTTTTTTTTTTTCAGACACTGGACTGGAGTGAAATGGCTCGAATATGACTCATTGCAGCCTCCTGCCTCATCCTCCAGAATTTTTCCCTTGTTCCTTTTTCTGTGTTCCTTAAATTAGAAAATAGTCTGTCACCTGTCTGGACTCCTACCTGTGTGCCTGCTTTGCCAGGTTCAGGTGAAGCGGACAGAGAAATAGAGGAGCTGTTCTCTGGGGTGTGTCCTAATTCAAAACAGGTTCACCCTGGGACCACCGGCAGGCGCCTCTGCTACTTGTCTTTTGATGTTGGAATGTGCCTTATGTGGGCTGCCCTAATTTACCTGTGTTCATATCTGCTCATCCACCGGAATGACTGGGGGATCTTCGAAAGTGGAAGCTTTTTCTTTTCTTTCTTTTTTTTTGAGGCAGAGTCTTGCTCTGTTCCCCAGGCTGGAGTGCAGTGCTGCGATCTCGGCTCACTGCAACCTTCATCTTCCGGGTTCAGGTGATTCTCCTGCCTCAGCCCCCTGAGTAGCTGGGATTACAGGCGCCCACCACTACGCCCGGCTAATATTTTTGTATCTTTAGTAGAGACAGGGTTTCATCATGTTGGCCAGGCTGGTCTCAAACTCCTGACCTTGTGATCCGCCCGCCTCGACCTCCCAAAATGCTGGGATTACAGGCGTGAGTCACCGCGCCCGGCCAGCTTTTTCTCATTCCCATGTTTACAAGCACTATGGCTGGCCCTCAGTAGGTGTTCTGTAAACAGCGGGCGAAGAAATTATTAGTTTTAAAAAGTACAGAAAGACCCCCACGAAAGCAGTAGCCAGTACCGAATACCTTAGGCTTCACAGACCTTCTAGTTGAGGAAGGTGCTCCCCCAATCCCAGACAGCTCCGGGTGCTGCGGAAGGGCGTGCGCGTAGGACCGCGGAGCCTGCTGCGTTACTCGGCGGCAGAGCGGCCCGCCCCCGGCTTCCCGCGCTCGGTGTCCATTGGCTGGCTCGGGGGTAGGCGGGCCCCGCCGCGCGGAGTCCTGCGCCCTGAGGCTCAAGCGGCGGCGTGCAAGGCGTGTGGGGCGCGCAGAGACTCGCGCGCGCCGTCTGCGATGCCCCGGGACGGCGTTCCTGCGGGGAGAACCAACCCGGCGGCAGCCCGGGCTGTCGCGCCGAGCTCGGATTCCGCGACTGCCGGAGCACCGCAGGTGTCTGACCCGCTGAAGCGGTAAGCGCTGTCTTTGCCCCGTACCTCCCGCCCTCGCCCTTGCTCTGGGGCAGTTGGAGGTGGGTGGGCAGGAAGGGGCGGGCCAGCAGGGCGCCGCACACTGGCGTCCCCGCGTCGCGGGATTGGGGTCTGGATTTCTCTCGTGACTGTCACTCCCCAAACCTGTCTTTAGCGCTCAGTTGCATGGGCTGGTGTGCCGGTGGATGAGCGAATAGCAGCAGAACGCCTGGCCCGGCCGGCGCTCTCCCGGACACTTGTCTCGGCCTCGCAGTGGCAGCGCCTCCGGCGAGTCTGTGCCGGCTCAGTGGACGCGCCACGCTGTGCGCACGGGTCTGGGGAGACGGCGGTTCTTGAATGATCCCTCACACTGCAGGGTATCTGGGAGCTGTGGGCTGAGGGGGCGCAACGTGACTTCTGTGTCGGTGAAATCGCTTGGACCAGCTCCAGCTGTTTTTAAAGCTTACTCTTGTTAAAAAAAATATTACCATTGTAGAATTGCATAATATGCTCTATCTCATCCAAAAATAGTTTTTGATTTCAGAGTAGTCATATGAATGCAACATTGACCCCCTACCCCCTCTAAATAATAAGTTTTGAGCTTCTTATTGTATGATAATAGATTTCTTTCATGAGAGAAATTCCTCAGAGTTAATCCACTCTCTCTCCCCTACTGCCCGACCCAGCTGCAGTGGTCCTAAAAAAGAAAAAGAAAGAAAAAAAATTTCTCATAGTACGGAAGAATAGAGTAGCCACGCACTGTGTTTTGAATCATCAGTTTTGAAGGATTTTGTTTTTGTTTTTGTTTTTCCACTTTGCTTAGGAGTGGTGTAAATAACTCGGGCCCCCCCGCCCCCCTCCCCCCGCTCCCATCCACTTATCGGAAGGAAAGTCAGCCCTAGTGCTGCGGGCTTCGGGCTGTCCCCAGCGTGGGAGAGGCTGTCCTGCTGGCCCAGCTGTTTATTGCAGCGATTTGGATGTTCCGAGAGTCACAAGGGACACTGCTCACGTCCCCATCTGGGGGTCACTTCATAGCAGCATCAGCTATTTCTTTTCATCCTTCTTGCCTGAGTCTGCCTCCGGTCCTTTGGATGGAGCAGGCTGCGACGGACGCTCGGAATAATGAAGCGAATTGCTCTTTCTTGATGCAAATGAATACCAGTGCTGTACTGCCTTCTCCCAATCTTTGTGGCGTTTGTGTGAGCTGCTGAGAGCCTCCGGGAGTGGAGAGAATGATAGACATTTTGCAGAAGCGGAACACTCTGGTGTTATGTCATCCTTCTTGGCTCTGGTTTCCAGGTCCAAGTTCTGGTGACATTGTTTCAGCTTGCTTTGCCCTTTCCCAGGCCCCTGGGTTAGTTTGACTGGAAAAGGAGTGCCTATTTCTTACCCCGTAAGGACTAGGAAAAGGATTGCTGGCTTGAGAAAGAGGTGCTGTAACTTATCCTCTGCGGCCAGAATTCTGAGGATTGGAAGACTATGGATTTTTTAAAAATGAAGGCATATGGAGGGATTGTAGAATACTGTAATTGTTCTTACTAGGATGTTGGAAAGTAATGCTGCTCTATTCAGTAACTAGGGAAAACTTAAGTACTTTAAATTTTTTTAAAAATTGCCAGTGCTACTGTGAATTGTCTTGTAAAATCAAAAAGCATCCCTAATTTAGCCTTTCTGTGAATCTTTTACATATGCTTCAAGGATTTGAGTATTGTTTTCTAGTCCATTGTTGTGGGGATTCTTAGTGTCTTTGTATTTAATGTTGTATATTGAAGAGGAGCTACAAAATGTAGTGCTTGCATACCTTTTGCCTCCGGGGAAGTTTTTTGGTGGCCAGGAAAACTTATTTAGTGCTGATTTATGAGAATAGAATGGTTTAAGGAATTTGTTGGGGACTGCTCATTTTAAAAAGTGCCTTGTGTTCATAATGATTTGGTGAATTGTATGATTTTGCTATATGTCATCTAAAATAATTTTCCACAACAGGATAATCATTTGAATGTACATTGACACTTTTGTTTTCTAAATAAGTTTTGAGCTTTCTTATTTTGTTTTTGGTCATCAATTTTGAAGAATTATTTTTCCCCAAATTTGCTTAGGTTTGCTTTCATCCACAACGACACGCCCGGGTTCCAAATTTGGAATGGTGTTAATAGTGTCAAATATGCAATTCTGGGTGTGTGTGGATGGATAGGAGGGCTTACAGTTTGTATTAAAACTTTATTTCTCCATTGAAATGTCAGCACCACCAGAAACTATTAATATTATGGCATTTTCTCCTTCAATAAATGGATGTGATGATAAAATGCTTTAGTGATTTTGAATGTCATGACCACTAACATTAAATGCTGTGATTTTTAAAAATGGCATGAAAATTGTGAAGTTTTGATAACGTTAGTCTTTCTGTTATCTCTCAGTGATGTGCCATTGCTAAAAGCACTGCCCTCCCACCCCCTCCCCCCAGCTAAGGCCTCAACATTTTCCTTACTGCATTCTTGTAGGAGCTGTGGTTTTTGTATGAACGTTCAGTCCCCTCACTTCTGACTTACATGTGCAAAATTTTACAGTTTGTAATCTTTACCAAAGTTCTCTTGGGTAACAGGATTCACAGCTTGAATCAGTAAAGTATCTTTGTTTCCCCTGCTTCTGGGAAGATGGGATCTTTGGAGTATCATTTTCTTTATTTTCATTATTTCCCAAGTTTCTGAAAATAATTTTTGAAAATATTTGAATTTTGAACCAAGATAAAGAAATGACTTAAATTTTTTAATAAAAATTATTTGGGTAGACAATAATTTCACAGTGTTAAAAATTAAAAAGTTTTAAAAGTTTCAGAGGGTGTAAAAAAGAAAAAAATAAATAAAAAAAGAAAAAAATAAATAAAAAAATTTTTTAAAGATATACAATGTAAAGTCTCCCTCTTTCTCATTTCTCTTCTTCTCATTTCTCATTCTGACAGTTTGCATGCCCTGGGTAATCATTCATTATTGTTAGTTTATTGCTTTTCCTTCCAGGATATTTTATACATATGAAAGTGAAAACAGGTTTACATTTCCCCTTCTTATATGTATTTGCAGTTTTTTCCCACTGCTTTTTCCACTTGAAAATGTATCTGAGAGATCTTTTCATGTTTTTTTTTTTTTTTTTTTTTGTTGAGACGGAGTTTCGCTCTTGTTACCCAGGCTGGAGTGCAATGGCGCGATCTCGGCTCACCGCAACCTCCGCCTCCCGGGTTCAGGCAATTCTCCTGCCCCAGCCTCCTGAGTTGCTGGGATTACAGGCACGCGCCACCATGCCCAGCTAATTTTTTATAGTTTTAGTAGAGACGGGGTTTCACCATGTTGACCAGGATGGTCTCGATCTCTTGACCTCGTGATCCACCCGCCTCGGCCTCCCACAGTGCTGGGATTACAGACTTGAGCCACCGTGCCCGGCAGAGAGATCTTTTCTTACCAATACACAGAGAACTTCCTCAATGAAAGTTTTTTTTTTTTTTTCTTTTCCTGAAAAGTAATTAGCAAAGAAAGAGAATAAAAGAAAAGAGGATAGCCTGTGGGGGCGGTGGCTCCTGCTGGTAATCCTAACACTTTGGTGAGGCTGAGGTGGTTGGATTACCTGATGAGGTCAGGAGTTCAAGGTCAACCTGGCAAACATGGTGAAACCCTGTCTCTAATAAAAATACAAAAATCAGCCAGGCGTGGTAGTGCATGCATGTAGTCCCAGGTACTTGGGAGGCTGAGGCAGGAGAATCGCTTGAATCTGGGAGGGGGAGATTACAGTGAGCCAAGATTACACTCAGTACATTCCAGCTTGGGTGACAGAGTGAGTGAAACTCTGTCTCAAAAAAAAAAAAAAAAAAAAAAAAAAAGAGAAAGAAAGAAAAGAAAAAGAAAAGAAGATGGACCTTGAAGAGACAAAGTAAGAGTTTTCTTTGTGGTTGGGATATTGGGTACAACACCCCTGCTGTGTCAAAAAGAAATCACTTAGAATACTTAAGCATGAGGTAAGGTGTTGTAAAATCTTCTGGTCTAAATAATCATTAAATTATTTAAAAATTTTTTTCTTTAGGGCCGGGCACGGTGGCTCACGCCTGTAATCCCAGCACTTTGGGAGGCCGAGGCGGGTGGATCACGAGGTCAAGAGATTGAGACCATCCTGGTCAACATGGTGAAACCCCGTCTCTACTAAAAAATACAAAAAATTAGCTGGGCATGGTGACACTTACCTGTAATCCCATCTACTCAGGAGGCTGAGGCAGGAGAATTGCCTGAACCCGGGAGGTGGAGGTTGCGGTGAGCCGAGATCTCGCCATTGCACTCCAGCCTGGGTAACAAGAGTGAAACTCCGTCTCAAAAAAAAAAAAAAAAAAAAAAAAAAAAAAATTTTTCTTTAAAGTCAAAGTAATACATGTACATGATTGAACAAATAAAGCAGTTCTTGAAGATTTACCACAAAAATACAAGACACTTGTTAATTTCTCCTTACTCTGTTTCTCTCTTTGAAGGCAAGCACTTTCATGTCTAACACTTTCAAGTACTTTAACTTTTTCTTCTAGTATTTACCTCTGTCTTTCTAAAAAGTATACTTTATAACCACTTCTTGACTTAAGTATTTTAGGTATTACTTTTTTATAAATTAATAATTGATAATGTGAGGATTTAACTCTTTATTCTCTTTTTATTTTATATCCTTCCATTCTCCCAATTTAGATTCTATCATAATTTTTTGTTAAATTTGTAGTTAGGTTTTGTATTATTGTGACCAGGTAAACATGACTAGCCTTTGAGCCAAATGATAAACTAATTTTTTTTAATTGCATTTTAGGTTTTGGGGTACATGTGAAGAACATGCAAGATTGTTGTATAGGTACATACATGGCAGTGTGATGTGCTGCCTTCCTCCCCATCACCTATATCTGGCATTTCTCCCCATGCTATCTCTCCCCAACTCCCCACCCCCTGCTGTCCTTCCCCTATTCCCCCCGCCCCCAACAGACCCCAGTATGT